TGCCCTTGCTGACCCGGAGTCTGACTCTCTTCGTGCTGCTAGTCCTACTGTCACGCGTCTCCTGGCCACTGCTGTCACTGACCCTTCCTTTGAGTCAGCTGCTGCGTCTGCCTTAGTTGCTGAGCTTGTCGACTTTGCTGCTCACTGTCGTCTAGACTACGCTGCGAGTCTTGTTGTTGAGTCTGAGTCTGTCTGTCCTCCGTCCGTCGGGGGTGAGTGTGCTCTTGGCACGGACGTCCTTGAGGACAGGCAGGAGGAGTTTGAGTGCTTTGCCGCCGCTGTACCTCATCTCGTGTCCATGCTGATTACACCTGAGGGAGACCCGGATGCACCAGACATCCCGACCCCGCGCTCTTACGCTGAGGCGATCGCGGGTGAGTACTCCTCTCAGTGGCAGTCAGCCATCGACGTAGAGATGGCATCCTTGAAGTCCACTGGCACATACATCGACGAGGTTCCCCCTCCTGGGGCGAACATCGTCAGTGGCATGTGGATTTTCAAGGTGAAGCGGCCGCCAGGTTCTCCGCCTGTCTTCAAGGCTCGTTACGTTGCTCGAGGCTTCAGTCAGCGAGAGGGAGTAGACTTCTTCCTGACCTTCTCCCCCACCCCGAAGATGACCACTCTTCGGGTGCTGCTGCACGTTGCCGCTCAGCGTGACTACGAGCTTCACTCTCTTGAATTCAGCACAGCTTTCTTGCAGGGCAGCCTGCACGAGAAGATCTGGCTGCGCCGCCCTCCTGGCTTCACTGGGTCGTTTCCTCCTGGTACCCAGTGGAGCCTTCGGCGGACGGTCTACAGCCTCCGCCAGGCGCCACATGAGTGGCACGACACACTGAGGACTACACTTGCGGCTCTTGGGTTCGCGCCTTCTACTGCTGACCCGTCGCTGTTTCTGCGCACCGACACTTCGCTGCCGCCGTTCTACATCCTCGTGTACGTCGACGACTTGGTCTTTGCCACTGCTGACACTGAGGCTCTCGCCCTGGTGAAGTCGGAGCTACAGAAGAGACACACGTGCACAGACCTGGGTGAGCTGCGCAGCTACCTTGGCTTGCAGATCACCCGGGACAGAGCACGCCGTACCATCACACTGACTCAGTCACACATGGTGCAGCAGGTCCTTCAGCGCTTCGGCTTCACCTGGTCCTCGGCACAGCCGACTCCTCTGGCTACAAGTCACTCGCTCTCAGCTCCACCTTCGGACGAGTCCGTAGAGCCGAGTGGTCCTTACCCAGAGCTAGTTGGCTGCCTCATGTACCTGATGACCTGCACTCGTCCTGACCTCGCGTACCCTCTTGGCCTTCTAGCTCGCTACGTGGCTCCTGGTCGGCACCGAAAGGTGCACATGGATGCTGCTAAGAGGGTACTACGCTACTTGTGCAGTACATCAGGCATGGGGCTTGTGCTTGGAGGTAGGAGCTCACTTGTTCTCACTGGGCACTCAGACGCTTCTTGGGTTGACGACCAGACTACTCAGCGGTCGTCACAGGGTTACACCTTCAACCTTAGCTCTGGTTCAGTTTCTTGGCGTTCTACACGTTCGTCTTCAGTTCTCAGCTCCAGTTGTGAGGCTGAGATCTACGCCACAGCCATGGCTGCACAGGAGTTACGCTGGCTCACCTACCTGCTGACCGACTTGGGAGAGCGGCCTCGTTCTCCTCCAGTTTTGTACGTCGACAACAAGGCAGCCATTGCCTTGTGTGAGGAGCACAGACTGGAGCACAGAACGAAGCACATCGCTCTGCGTTACTTCTTGGCTCAAGAGTTGCAGCAGCGTGGTCAGCTTCATCTGCGTTACGTGGCCACTCGGGCCAACACTGCTGATATATTCACCAAGGCACTTCAGTCTGGTGATCATCAGCGTTTCTGCACTATACTGGGGCTTGTGCCCACTTTTCCTCACTTGCTGTAGGCTTTGCTTGTACTGTGATCTATATATGTATACCTGCATGCTTGCTTTGCTAGGTAGAGATCACTGTGATGTCTGTGTTCCACATATGCCTCTGCATGTGAACTGCTGAGTGAGTGTGGTGACGTTGTGATCCACCCTGAGCTTGCTTTGCCTTTTTGACTGGTCTTGTGACCCCTTGCTCTCCCCCACTTTGCCTATGGGGGTGTGTCAAATGTTATATCTGCTACAGTTTGTTTAGGATGTAGTGGGGTAGTTACTATGGGGTACAGTAAGTTTAGGGTTTCCTACTTGTACCCAATCCTTTCCTAGTACAATCACATCTCTCATTTTGACAGTCGATGGGCAGCTCTCCTTTCGAGTGCTCCCTTTCATTGATGCCAGCTTTGATAACGACTTCCACAACGTTGCTCACGAGCCGTCGTCGAGCTGCTCCCCTATCGTGAGAGTATGCTGTCGAGCAGTTCCTTTGTTGCGAAAGTACGACGTCCGTTCTTAGATGAACTTGCTCGTTACTATTTTTCAATTTACATTTCTGTGTTATGGCCAATGGCTGTTGTAGATGATGGCCTTGACAAATTGGCGATGAGCGGTGGAGAAGCGACCGAGGAAGATGGAAAGGCCACCGACGACGGGACAGTGAGAAAGAAGAGAGGAGGAGAGGAAGGGGGAGCTATGTTCTCTTCATCAGGTTGGTCGTCATCCTCAGCAGCGAGCAACTGAGTCGCCGTCGGCGAAGAAACTTGAGTCCGTGCCGACGCCGGCTCATGGTCTGACTTCTTGATCTCCAGCGACATGGTCTCGAAAAATATGGCCTCGACGGTGATGATAATCCGGTTGTCAGTAAAGTCGAGCACTTCACAGCCCTTGCTCGCCGATGACCTACCTGCTGACTGACTTGGGGGAGTGGCCTCGTTCTCCTCCAGTTCTGTATGTCGACAACAAGGCAATGCTTGCCTTGTGTCGCGAGCAGAGACTGGAGCACAGAACGAAGCACATTGCTCTTCGTTACTTTCTTGCTCGGGAGCTGCAGCAGCGTGGTCAGCTGCGCCTTGCTTACGTGGCCTCTCGGGCCAACACTGCTGATGTCTTCACCAAGGCCCTCGGGTGTGGTGATCTTCAGCGTTTTTGCACTGCTCTTGGGCTTGTGCCCACTCTCCCTCACCTGCTGGTTGCTTGACTTGCTCTTGTTGTACTGATATATATCTTTATACCTGCTTGTTTACTCTTGCTAGGTTGTGATCAGTGTACTGCCTTGCTATTATACCTCTGCATGTGAACTGGCCTTGTGGCCGCTTGCTTGTGCTCGGATTGTGTGGTGTCCTTGAGATCCACCCTGAGCTTTGCTTTGCTTTGCTTGTTCTCTTGCTTGACTGGTCTTTTGACCGTCTGTTGTCTTGGCTATCTCCCACTTAGCCTACGGGGGTGTGTCAAAATGTATGTTTGTGTTCTCTCTAGGCTATAGTGGGTTAGCCTACAAGGGGTACAACACTTTAGGGTTAAGTACTTGTACTCATGCATGCTACCTAGTCCATCATTCCTGCCTGCTTATTTTAACAGTTATGTGCGAGCCGAGCGTGCCAAATATCCGCCGTCGACCTTGTTGACGAGGAAATGGTCCGCAAAGCAACATCGACGTCAGCTACAGCTAGTAATGTCAGAGGCAGGTATAGAGAACCTGACCGGTGTGGCCTGTACGACCGATCACGACTCTCGCAGCCGCATCTCGTCGCCATTTTCCTACGGCTTCACGCCGCTATCTTTCAGCTGGCTGGTCGACAACAAGTTGCTTGCACTTTCGAGACGTACATCATATCGAGAATGAGAATATGCTTTGCTGACTTCCCTTCCAGCGCAACAGTGCCACGACCTTGGATGACCTGAATCACGCAATTGAAGCGAGCACTTGGCTGACGTCGCGTCCAGGCTCCATGTCCAAAAAAGCCTCTTGACTTTCCATCATGTGATGCGAGCAGCCGCTGTCGAGGAGCATCATAGTTGAATTTGCGTGTACGGTGGCAGCAACCGTCTTGAAATCATTTTCGGCCTCCGGCGCCAGGGAAATGGTTAGCTCGACACTTGCAATATTGGCAAGCAGCACTTGAGATGACCATGAATGGCAGCAGGTGAGTGGCGCAAAAATACGTCCGCATGAGTTAAGCTACCGTATGCAGAGTTGGTTGTCTTGTGCGGTTTGAGCTGGTCCCGAAGCGTATGCCGATATGGCCTTGTATATTGATGTGCTGCTTGACAAATCTAGCGTTTATTGTAATGAATACTGGCGGTTGGTGATTGAAGCACGGTCGAGGCCCAGTGTACATTGCTCCACACTATGAAAACTGGTGAGATGTAAGGAAATTGAAAATCTCCCTTAACTTACGCGCACTCTTCTTTCCAGAACCAGTGAATGTTTCATTTCCTTGCATTCCTCCTCTTTGGCACTCTTTGTGCTCAAACGAACCGACTTCTAGAACCGAGAGAGGCAGTTTCGCTTGATCGACTGAGCATTTCCCGCCGCCACTAATGATTCGTCCAACCATCGTTTAGCCTGCCCCACGAATTACAGCGAAGCCAGCCTGCAAGCCACAAGCCTCAGCAATGATCGAGGTCGTCCGTTGAATCTCAGCAGAGGCTGGCTCAATATGTGTCAGAGACTTGCTTCCGCGACACGGGAAGTTTGCAGAGCGGAGCGGCATGGGGTGAAATCTGGGGTGGGATCTCTCCCGTGGAAGGATCTGTCCGACCCAAAAGAGTCCCCTGGAGACACTTCTTCCTCTCTGCATCCGCCAAGCAGCACCTCGAGAATACCGAACTCACCTTGTTCAGTTCACCTTATTCAGGAAGGGGGGGGACAATCGTTTCCCTAGCCTTGTTCAGTTCACCTTGTTCGGTAGGCACCTTCTGCGACTGTGGATCGGTGAGCTCTGTGCTGAGGGTCTTGTTTGTTGTGGTTGTCGGATCCAAGAATTAAATCTGTAGAGTCGACAGACCCTCATAGCAATCGCTACTTCTTTTCCGACCTTACAAAAAATCCGGTGAACAGATCTAGGGAACGCTCCAAGGCTCCTGAGCTGCTTAGACTCCCGTTGTCATGGCACAGCCTGGAAACCGCAAGGTGGGTAACCGCCGCCGTTCCAGCGGAGAGCAGGCGGTTATTGTCGGAGTGCTGCTAACGCTGATCTTTCTCGTTTACAACGGCCGGTTTCCGTCTCTTTTCCGTCTCGCAAGAGCACCCAGTACGACAACCTTAGCGTCACGGCGCTGCGCAAACTCCAGGCGGAGGATGCGGCGCTCCTCGCGCCGGAAGAACCGGAGAGCGAGGGAGAGAGCCAGGCAGCTTTTGACGCCGACGAGGGGCCTTACTACATGGAGCCGGGGGTCAAAGGTATGTCCACCGCGAGCCGCGCATATTGTGTGCTTCTTGGCGAGCATTAGTAGTAGGGTTTTAAAAAAAGAGCATTTGATGCCGAGGAGGGGCCTTACTACACGGAGCCGCGAGTGAAGGGTACGTCAACTGTGGTCGTTTTTCGAGTCGACTCAAAAACCGACTCATTTCACGCGGTTACTACATGGATCTACGGGTAAAGGGTATGTCACCTATGAGTTATGAGCATGTCACCTGTGGAGGAAGCCCGTTTGATGGTCAAATCATTTGTATGCTCTGGTCACGGCGATGGCATGCGAAAGAAAAAATCATTTTGAGACGTCTCAACACAATGGTATGCTCTGTTCAACACAACGGCATGCTCATGGCGCAATCAGGGAATCCTTGTTACGAGTCGGGGTTAGAATCAAAACGGTTTCCAAGGGAATTCGAAATATATTTCAAATGTCTGGAAACTCGACGCTGGAAAAACAGAAACCTCAACAAGTTGCGCCATCCGTGGCTTCGACCAACGTGACCCGCTGCTGTTCGCATCGAATGACACGGCGGTTGCGAGGCGTCGGGGATAGCTGTGCTCCGAACCCAACCTATGAAGGCACTACATGAAGCCAACAGGCAAATTGCCTGCAAGCAGGCCCCTTCGTGCGATGCAGAGTGGGTGTGCTGCTTCAAGGATGCTCCAATTCCACACCCGCCTCTCCTTCCCCTCCTCTTTACTCCCTTCCTCTTCCTCTTTATGTGGCACGTTCAAGATTCGATGTACAGAAACGCACCGCGTGTTGGGACGAGCGGCGAAGCTTCTTATAACGCAGCCCTCAGGTGAAGGATTCCTGATTGCGGTGCACGTGCAAGGCTCGCTCACCGCTCCCCCAGTTCCTCTCCCCACCTTTTTCCCCCTCGCTACAATCACACCGCCGCAGACTGGGACGAGCAGCGGCGCGCGTACATCGCGGCGCACCCGGGGTGCAACGCGACGCGCAACGGCAAGCCCAAGGTGATGCTGGTGTCGGGCTCCAACAGCAAGCGGTGCGGCGAGGGCCCCAACAGCGGCGACTTCTTACTCCTCAAGAACAAGCAGGACTACGTGCGCGTGAACGACATGCCGTTCTATTACAGCATGGGCGCTTTTGATCCAAGGCTGAAGACGTTCTGGGTGAAGCTGCCCATGCTGCGCATGCTCATGCTGCAACACCTGGATGTGGAGTGGTTCCTCTGGGTTGACTCCGATGCCATGATTACCGGTGAGTGAGTAGCCAAGGTAGGCAAGGAACGGGTTTGGGTTAATAAGTAAGGTGGAACGCTCATTGCATGCTGCAGCACCCCGGTCCCCGACGTGAAGTGGTTCTTCTGGGTCGACTCGGACGCCATGATCACTGGTGAGAGGGGCGTGGGGAGTAGCCGAGGGTTGGGAGGTAGCAGATGCATGGGTTTGGGTTATGGCGCAACGGTCGGCTCATGCTGCAACACCCGGATGTGAAGTGGTTCTTCTGGGTTGACTCCGATGCCATGATTACCGGTGAGTGAGTAGCCAAGGTATGCAAGGAACGGGTTTGATCCAAGGCTGAAGACGTTCTGGGTGAAGCTGCCCATGCTGCGCATGCTCATGCTGCAACACCTGGATGTGGAGTGGTTCCTCTGGGTTGACTCCGATGCCATGATTACCGGTGAGTGAGTAGCCAAGGTAGGCAAGGAACGGGTTTGGGTTAATAAGTAAGGTGGAACGCTCATTGCATGCTGCAGCACCCCGGTCCCCGACGTGAAGTGGTTCTTCTGGGTCGACTCGGACGCCATGATCACTGGTGAGAGGGGCGTGGGGAGTAGCCGAGGGTTGGGAGGTAGCAGATGCATGGGTTTGGGTTATGGCGCAACGGTCGGCTCATGCTGCAACACCCGGATGTGGAGTGGTTCTTCTGGGTTGACTCTGATGCCATGATCACTGGTGAGTGGGGCGTGGGAGATAGGGTGGTAGGTTGAGATAGGGCCTTGTGCTTACTCTGCCTCACTTGCTTACCACTTGACTTTGCCTTGTACTATGTTCTGTATATCTATACCTGCTTGTTTACTCTTGCTAGGGTGCGATCACTGTACTGCTTGTACTTTCTTATGTCCCTGCATGCGAACTAGCCTTCTGGCCCTTTGCTTGTGCTCGGACTATGTGGTGACTTCATGATCCACCCCGAGCTTTGCTTGTTTGCTTTTGTTGACTGGTCTTCTGACCGCTTGTTGTCCCCCACTTCGCCTATGGGGTGGTGTCAGAACATATATTGATATATGACTTTAGCTGTGCTTGGCTGTAGTGGGGCACTCCTTAGAGAGTACTGTAGTTTTAGGTCTCCATCTTGTACCTTTCAACACTCTCATCAATGCCTCCTTTCCTCTCTACTCTCTTCAGCCATGGCTACTAATTAGTCCTTATCTCAACAAAGCAAAATCACCGACTGCCCTACTGGTGACATGGCAGCTGATTTTCTCACCAAGAAGCTACCACGTTAGCAGTAACAGCTCTACGCGAATGTTTGCGGTATAACCAAGTGCGCCAAGACTTCGCTCCTCCAGGAATGAAAGGGAGTGTTACTATATGAAATTGTTGAATAACATTCCTAAAGTAACGGATTTTAAATGCGAAGATGACTGCAGCGATGACGAAGATCGAGCGACGCAAACAGTTATCGAAGATCGTTGGAAGCAGAATGATTTCGAAGTGCAAGAGCGGGAAATGCATCCAAACAGTTACCGTGACGCGTAATGTTACCGGACCGCACGGTTGGAATTCCCGATGTAGGTTAGCCCCAAGGGGAATGTACCCCCTTAGAGTACACGTCTAGCTAGGACCTTTCGTATTCCCTTGTATTCCTATATAAACCCTACTATCGCATTGCTGTAGCCATTTCTGTCGAGCTTCAAATCTCCGCACCCGACATCCAGTAGCAATCTTCTGCTGCTACAAGACTCGCGATCAACCTGAGACGATCCTACAAAACTCTTTTCAGATTGTAACAAATTATTTTAAATATAAAAAGTCTTGCAAATAGTCTTGAAGGGCCACACGCCATATTTTTTTTTGAAAGCTAAACACAGTCCTTGTATCATCGATTTAGATTCCATGTAATAAAAAACAACAGACAGTTAGTCTTTCTTTGAATAAAAAATAAAGGAGGTTCCTGAGGAGGAAGGCGAAGTCCATTGGCGGTTCAATGCAGTTTCTCCTGTAGTAAATTGGTCGATAATGGGAGCATCAGAGAACTCAACATTTTCCATGATTGCTGAGAGATTTTGTTCTTTTACTATTGGAACGATGCTATAACTCGTAACAATGATGAAACTACTCCATTTCATTAGAAGCAAGAGTTTGTCTTAGGAAATTCCAAATTCCTTACACCCTTTAATCTACCCTGCACAAACGAACCGTTTTCCAAACGGAGACAGTCAGTTTCGCTTGACCAACTGAGCATTTCCCGCCGCCACGACTGATTCGTCAACCATCGGTTCACCTGCCCCACGAATTGCAGCAAAGCTTTCGCCTGACAGAGAGCGCTCTTGTCTTGCCAGCGATCGAGGTCGTCCGCAGGATCTCACCGTTCGTTTGGCTGAAAATGTGTCAGAGATTTGCTTCCCGCGACGCGGGGAAGTTGCAGCGAGGGTTGCCAGGGTAAATCTGCACTAGTAGAATCCGCAATCCGTTGAGACACTTCCTTGATGCCTGCGTGGAGGGAGCACCTTGAGAATACCAAGCTCTGCGCGTTGCTCTCAGTTCGCTGCTTGCTGTGGGTCTTGTTGTGGCTGTCCGCTTGAAGAAAACTAGTTTGGGAGTGCGCTCAGACCCTTGTAGATAACGCTCCGCTTTTTACCTTGTTACCTTTTCTTTTTATTTCACAAAATATTCACTTTTGATCGTTTTCTTTAGAACGCTCCAGAGCTTCAGAGCTGCTTAGACTCCCGCTGTCATGGCACAGCCTGGAAGTCGCAAGGCCGCTAGCCGTCGCCGGTCTAGCGGAGAGCAGGCGGTTATCGTCGGAGTGCTGCTAACGCTGATCTTTCTCGTTTACAACGGACGATTTCCGTCGATTTTCCCGTCTCGTACGAGCACCCCGTACGAAAACCTCAGCGCCACAGCGTTGCGCAAACTCCAGGCGGAAGATGCGGCGCTCATCGCGCCGGAAGAATCGGAGAGCGAGGGAGAGAGCCAGGCAGCATTTGACGCCGACGAGGGGCCTTACTACATGGAGCCGCGGGTCAAAGGTAGGTCAACTGCGGGTCAAGGGTATGCCATTGGCGGTTCCAGCGTATGAGTCATTTACGGGTCAAGGACAGAAGACGTGTAAGAGCTAGTGGCTGATCGTCCAGATGACTATCCAATCAACTCCGAAGTTACGCGCACGTCATCAACGGGCCGAGCAATAAGATGTGTGAGAACGATTGGCCGATCGTTCCACGGCGAGTCCGGGGTACCTGTGCCGCAGAGATGATGCGCGTTTGTCGGCGGGCAGTGAGTCGTTCAGAGTGAGCGTGCGACGGTGCCAATGAGAATGACAATAGCGAGTATAGGCTGTAGAACGATCGGTCGCCGCTGCCTGATGCTCAAGACAGCGGTATGCTCGTCGAGTGATCAATAAATCCGTGTTCGCAAGTCGCCTGTGATTTATTTCGACTTGCAAGGCGTTTTGAGAAGTCTCGAAACCTGCTCGACTCTGGAACAACGGAGGCCTCAAGTTGCGCGATCCATGGCTTCGGCCAACGGGACCCGCGCGCCGTTCGCATCGAATGACGCGGCGGTTGCGAGGCGTCGGGGTTAGCTGTTCCTTGCACAGTAAGGGTGCGATGCTCTAAGCTGCTCTAAGGATGCTTGAATTCCACAACCACGTGTTTTCGGAATTGCCGCTCTTCCACTATAAGCGAAGACAGTAAGGGTACGATGCTCTAAGCTGCTCCAAGGATGTTCGAGTCCCACACCCACCTCTCCTTCCCCTCCTCTCCCTCCTCCCCCTTCCTTTCCCCTCCTTTCGCGAGTTAGGGTGCAGGCTCAAGACTCGTTGTTCATAAAACAAACGCATCGCACGTTGTGATGAGTTTCGATGCTGCTTATAACGCACCGACGGGGCGAAGGAATGATGATTCCGGTTTCCGCGCAATTCTCGCTCACCGCTTCTCCCTTTCCCCCTTTTCCCCCCCTTCGCTACAATCGCCCCGCCGCAGACTGGGACGAGCAGCGGAACGCGTACATCGCGGCGCACCCGGGGTGCAACGCGACGCGCGACGGCAAGCCCAAGGTGATGCTGGTCTCGGGCTCCAACAGCAAGCGGTGCGGCGAGGGCCCCAACAGCGGCGACTTCTTACTCCTCAAGTTCCTCAAGAACAAGCAGGACTACGCGCGCGTGAACGACATGCCGTTCTATTACGGCATGGGTGCCATTGACCCGCGGCTCAAGACGTTCTGGGTGAAGTTGCCGATGCTGCGCATGCTCATGCTGCAGCACCCCGATGTGGAGTGGTTCCTCTGGGTCGACTCCGATGCCATGATCACCGGTGAGAGGGGCGTGGGGGGGAGAGGGGGTTAGCCCAGGGTTGGGAAGTGGCCGAGAAATGGATTTGGGTTAGTAAATGAGGCGCAACGGTCGTCTCATGCTGCAACACCCCGACGTGGAGTGATTCCTGTGGGTCGACTCCGATGCCATGATCACTGGTGAGAGGGGCGTGGGAAGTAGCCGAGGGTTGGGAGGTAGCAGATGCATGGGTTTGGGTTAAGATATGGCGCACTCGCCTCATGCTGCAGCACCCCGACGTGGAGTGATTCCTGTGGGTCGACTCCGATGCCATGATTACCGGTGAGGGGCGTGGGGAGTAGCCGAGGTAGGCAAGGAACGGGTTTGGGTTAATGTGCGACGCAAAGGTCGGCTCATGATGCAGCACCCCGACGTGGAGTGGCTCTTCTGGGTCGACTCAGACGCCATGATCACCAGTGAGAGGGGCGTGAGAGGTAGGGTGGTAGGCTGAGATAGGGGTTGAGTGGTTTCAGTGGCAACGGTCATTGCATGCTGCAGCACCCGGATGTGGAGTGGTTCTTCTGGGTCGACTCCGATGCCATGATCACTGGTGAGAGGCGTGGGGTGGTTTTCGAGGTTTGGGAGGTAGCCAAGGATTGAGTGTAGGTTTACGTTGGGGGTAGGTTTTTATTGGGAGGCAGCTGAGGTTTGGTATTAAGGTATCTGAGTAAATTCAAGCGCAACGGTGGGATGATGCTGCAGCGCAACAGTCTCCCCCCATCCCTTCTCTTTCTTCACTTCCCCCATCCCCCATCATGCATCCCCAATCCCCCCTGTCGTGCGCGTGTAGGCATGGCGTTCCGGTACCTCATCGAGAAGCAGGCGGCTTAGAAATGATCCCCCCCCTCGCTCCCCGTTTTCGCCCTCCCACCTCCACTCCGCTCCTGGCCCCCCGCGTGCAGACATGGCGTTCCGGTATCCCATTGAGAAGCAGGCGAACAAGGTGCTCGTGAATCGTGATGTCGGGGCTGAACCCAGGCGGATAAGACATATTCCCTCCCTTCCCCTCTCCTTCCCTCCCTTCCCTCCCTTCCCTCCCTTGCCCTCTCCTTCCCTCCCTTCCCTCTCCTTCCCTCCCTTCCCCTCTCCTTCCCTCCCTTCCCTCTCCTTCCCTCCCTTCCCCTCTGCTTCCCTCCCTGCCCCATCTACCCCTCCCCCCTTCTCCGTGCAGACATGGCGTTCCGGTATCCCATTGAGAAGCAGGCGAACAAGGTGCTCGTGATGTCTGGGCTGGACGCTGACGTGTACGGCAAGAAGGACTGGTGAGTCAGTGCTGACGTGGCAAAGAGGGGGAGGCACGGGGAGAGGGAAGAAGGGGAAGAAGGGTCGGAAGGAAGGAGGGAGACGTAGGGGGAGGGAGGGAGAAAGAGGGGAAGGAAGGGATGGAGGGATGGAGAGAGGGAGAGAAGGAGAGCTTCTAACCAGCAACACTCGCCTCGCATATTAAGTCGACTCAAAATCACCTCAAAAGAGAAGGAGAGGTTGTAACCAGCGGCTCGCCCCACACGCCCCTCAACCCCCCTCGCCTCGCCATTTGCCCCATCCTCCCTCCAACGTCGCCCATCCCCTTCTTCTCCCCCTCAGCCAGCATCGATCACCCTTCTCAGCCTTCCTTGTTACATTCTGCCCGCTTTCTCTCTCCCCTTGCCTCCAGCCTCTTTCCCTTCCCTTCCCTTCCCTTTCTTTCCCTCCCCTACCCTTCAATTTCCTCCCCATTCCTCCCCTCCCCTCCCCCTCCCCTCCCTTCCCTCCCCTCTTTCCCCCCCCTCCTCCCCTCCCTCCCCTCTCCCCGCCCATCTCCTCCCCTTCTTCCCATCTCTGCACCATGTTCCTTCCTCACGTTGTCTCCCCCCACTGCTGTCTTCCCCCTCCCCATCCTCCTCGCCCTTACTCCCAGGGTGGCCCTCAACACGGGAAGCTTCCTCATCCGCAACTCACAGGTAAGCACTCCCGCCTCTCTCACTGCCGTCATTGTTAAGGCGCCTCGAAAATACATGCCCGCATCTCTCACAGCCATCCCGCCACGTCATCGTCCTGTCACCTCCACCTCGCCACGTCATCGTCCCGTCCACATGGCCAAATGTCTCCCACCCCTTGTGTCGCCTTCTCACACCCCTGCATCCCACCCCTGCATCCCACCCCTGCATCCCACCCCTGCATCCCACCCCTGCATCCCACCCCTGCATCCCACCCCTGCATCCCACCCCTGCATCCCACCCCTGCATCCCACCCCTGCTTCCCACCTGATGCATCCCACCCACGCCTGCACCCCACCCATCAGGAAGGGTTGGATCTGCTGGACGACTGGGGGCAGTACGGGCGGTCGGAGAAGGTCACTGTCAAGTGGGGCGAGATCGCCAGCAGGGTGCTCCAGGTGCGTGCGTGCTGCTCAGGTGACCACAGCAGAGTGGTTCAGGTGCTAACACCAGAATGGATCAGGTGCTAACACCAGAATGGATCAGGTGATAACAGCAGCTGGATGATCGCTGGAGAAAGATAGCTGGGGGTTGAGTATTTGAAAAAACAAGATGGATTGAACAGCAGGAATCTGTGTCAGGTGATTGTAGCACAATATCCTGCTAAGCAATCGAGTATTACGAGCTAAGTTTTCACAACCCACTATTTGGCCACTAGTCTGTTCCACTCTCCACTCTCTCCCCCCCGTCACCTCATTGCCTTCCTATGTGCCTTCCCTCTTCCCCACACCTCCTTCCGCCCCTCCCTCGTGCACCACCCCACCCACTCCCTCCCCCTCTCGCGCTCTTCTCTGCTTCACTCCTCTCCCTCGTCCCCTGCCCACCCGCACAAAATCGCAAGAATTTGCCGGCAGATGACCAGACAGCGCTGGTGCTGAGGCGAGGGTGAGAAGGCGAGGAGGCGGAGGACAGGCGGGAATGTGCTGCTCCACCCCTCTCTCCTGCATGTGCTCACTCTCTCCCTAAACTCGAAACCCTAAACCGGACCCACTCTCTTCCCTCGCCCCCTGCCCGCCTACCCTCACAGAAACGCAAGAACTGGCCGGCAGACGATCAGACGGCGCTGGTGCTGATGCTGACGGGCGAGGGCGAGAGCGAGGAGGACAGGGCCAAGGGTCTCAAGGCGCTGGCGCTCTTTCCCTTCTTCACGCTTCCTCCGCATCCCCTGCCCCCGCCTACCCTTACAGAAACGCAAGAACTGGCCTGCGGACGACCAGACGGCGCTGGTGCTGATGCTGACGGGCGAGGGCGAGAGCGAGGAGGACAGGGCCAAGGGGCTCAAGCCGCTGGCGGACCGCTGGGCTCCCCGCACTCACCTGGACCCCACGTACACTCTGCACGGCTTCTGGGGAATCTTCGTGGACAAGTGAGTGGGTGGCAGCAGGGGAAAGAGCAGCAGAGCCTGCAGTGCAGAGAATGCACCTGTGCTCTGTGGGACCACTGGGCTCCGCGCACACACCTTGAACCCACGTACGCTCTGCACGGCTTCTGGGTTATATTTGTGGACAAGTGAACGGGGGTAGTGGAGGGAGCAGTGATGAAGTGAGGCCTGCAGAGTTGAAGAGAGCATGCCATGGCATGGCATGGCATGGCGGGGCCATAGAAGCCAAGTACCAAAATGGGGTGGGCGACTGGGAGTGGCCCTTCACGGTGCACTTAACACCTCCTCACCCCGAATCCTTGTACCCGAAACCTCTTGTCCCTTCCCGCCACACACCAGGCTGGAGGCGATAGCGGCCAAGTACCACAACGGGATGGGCAACTGGGAGTGGCCCTTCACGGTGCACTTCACGGGGTGCAAACTGTGCGACCGCAAGTTCTCTGATTATGACCCCGACACCTGCGACCGCGGCATTCACAGGTACGTGTGAGCAGCACTCTACGCATGAGCATGCAAGCTTTCTCCGACTATGACCCCGACAATTGCGACCGCGCCATCCACCGGTATGTGGGAGCAGCACTCTCCAGCAATCAGCACGCACCAGTGACTGGCACTCGCAGCATATACCATTAATAAGCACCCCTGACTCACGGGGTGCAAGCTGTGCGACCGCAAGTTCTCTGACTATGACCCTGATACTCGTGACCGCGGCGTTCACCGGTATGACCTGCACTCACCACTACAAGCATTCAAGCAGTCAAAACCAGGTGGCACTCACAGCATTCATCCATTCCAAGTACTGATAAGCATTTGCGAGTTCTACTACTACGGTTTTGACACCTGCTACAGCGGCACTCACACTCACACTCACTCACCGGTATGGGAAGCTCTCACACTACGAGCATTCATGCACTCACACTACCAGCACTCATGCACTCACCAGTAACAAATACTCATACGCGTCCAAGCATTCACAGACTATGACCCCGACACCTGCGACTGCGGTATTTACCGGTATGTATGAGCTGCAGTCACAAGCACTCAATCGTGCACTGATAATCAGCAATCAGATCCTTTACTATTCCTCTGGTTTTCCCCTTCTCCCCTCTGCTCCCTCTCAACCCCCTCAGGTCGCAGACAACCAGGTGCTTGAGAGGAACGGCGTGCAGCAAGGTGGTCTCGTGGATGCAGTGCGAGCCGTGCTCATCACTCCCCACTGCTTCTTATCCCCTTTGCACCTCTGCTCCCTTACACACCCCCCCAGGTCGTATGCCTTTGCGGACAACCAGGTGCTCAGGAGGAACGGCCTGGTGGTGTTTTGAGTTGACTTATAAGTCACCACGTGTTCCCCCCTTCGCCCGTCCTTTCCTTCATGCCCCCCCCAGGTCATACGCCTTTGCGGACAACCAGGTGCTCAAGAGGTACGGCCTGCAGCACGCCAATCTCAACGACTCTGCCATCACCAAAATCGGAGCTCAGGCTGCCTGATTTCGCAATATTTAGTGTAGAAAGGGAACAGTGAACAGAGCTGTAGGAGAAAAGCAAGGATTTGATTGTGCGTTGCTTCTTTAAGTGAATTTGTTTAGGGTCCTTCATAAGTGGTAGTTATAGAGTAAGGAAAATGTGTGCTGGTGCCTTTTTTTTTCATGTCTACTGGACCCAAGATGTGTGACAAAATAGGCAATAGTGTGGAGGCATCAGACTGCCAACTTGTCTAGCACTACTTTTCGCCTTATACCTTTGCATGTTCAGATATTACAACCAGCGCTAACGGGGTAACGAATAGCATGTTCGTACGAATGAAATTCGGCAGAGGGGAAGACCTAGTCACCAAGGTCACAAGGTTAGCAGCAGGTGCGGTGGACATATTAGATACGGAGTCGCGAACCATATAGCCTCATCAGCTACTATAAAATAAGCCTTATTAGGTTGTCAAGCCTGCTACAGAGCTCGTACAGAGCTGGTCGAAGTTTCCGCCTTCTTTACAGACCCATTTCTCGTCGCCTCGCGCTGCTTCCGTTGCGACCGTAGTTTCGAATCGTCGCGTGACGATGGCGGAAGGCGGTCGCGGGCGACACTATCGCCACCGTCGCCGAGGCGAAAGCGACAGCGGTAGCGACAATAGCGACAGCGATGATAGCGGGAGCAGGCGACGGAATTCGCCGGTTTCTGACGACGACCGGGACGACCGGCGGGGCGATCGTGGGCGACGCGTGCGACGAAGGTATTCGTCGGACGAGGAAGAGGAGGAGAGGAGAGAAGGAAGGGGGAAAGAGGAGAAGAGGAGGGAGAAGGCGAAGGGAGGAGAGCCGGACCGGCATGCTTCGAAACATGCGGATCGGCGTCGGAGCGAGAAGCGGCGATCTGCCAGCGACGACGACGAGGACGAAGAGGCGGAGCGGGGGAAGCTACGCGGCGGCGATCGCGATGGCGGGAAAAGCGGGAGAGGCGGGAGAGACAGTCGCAGCACAGGCGGGAGGCGGAGGAGGGGGAGCGAGTCCGCGAGTGAAAGCGATTCGGAATCGGAGGGGGAGAGGAAGAAGGGGCGGCGGAAAGGGGGCGAGGAGGGGAGTGAGGGACGAGGGGCGAAGGGGGGCGGGCGGAGAGCGCGTGTACGGCGTAGCGGGAGTGACAGTAGCGAGGATGAGGCGAAGGAGAGGAGACGGAACAGGCATCGTGACCAGGAGGAGGGGGGGGAGGATGAGCGAAGAGCGGGGAAAGCGGCGAGGGAGGAGAGAGCAAGAGGGAACGAGTCGAGGACCAAAGCGCGTGGCACAGCTGCTGCTACTTCTCCTGCTGCTGCCGCCACGGGGGCTGCTACCAAGCCACTGCGCGCCAAGCCAGCCCAACCAGCCAAGCAGGCCCAACCAGCGCGCGCGCAGCCACCCCTGGATGCAGCAGCGCTGGCAGCAGAAGCTGCGCGCGCTGCTGCTGGTTTTGGCCCCTCCGCCCCCGCCTCTTCCGCTGCTCCCCCACCCCTCCCCCACCCCCCAGCCCTCCCGCCGTCGTTCCCCCCTCCCCCGTCCGCCTCCGCCCCTCCCATCCTCCCCCCTCCTCCGCCCCCCCCGCACTACCCCTTCTCCGCGCCGCCCCCTCCCCCGCTTGGCGGCCCCCCTGTGCGCGCCGGAAATGGGGCTGCGGCAGAGGGTAGGGTGATTGCTGACGTGGACAGATCCGCGTCGGGGGGGAGAGTTCTTGCTGACGTGGATCCTGAGACGCTGCAGGCCATGGAAGCAACGCAGAAGGCGCTGGAGGCGAAGGAGGGGGAGAAGAAGAAGGTGAGGGTGGGGGAGGATAAGGTGATGGGGGGGAGAATAAGGTGAGGGGGGGGAGAATAAGGTGAGGGGGGGGAGGATAAGGTGAAGGGGGGGAGGATAAGGTGAGCGGAGGGGGGAAGGCAAACGAAGGTGAGGAAGGGGGAAGATGATGGGGGAGGTGAGGGGGAGAAGAAGGTGAGGGGGAGAAGAAGGTGAGGGGGAGAAGAAGGTGAGGGGGAGAAGAAGGTGAGGGGGAGAAGAAGGTGAGGGGGAGAAGAAGGTGAGGGGGAGAAGAAGGTGAGGGGGAGAAGAAGGTGCGGGGGAGAAGAAGGTGAGTGGGAGAAGAAGGTGCGGGGGAGAAGGAGGTGAGGGGGAGAAGAAGGTGAGGGGGAGAAGAAGGTGAGGGGGAGAAGAAGGTGAGGGGGAGAAGAAGGTGAGGGGGAGAAGAAGGTGAGGGGGAGAAGAAGGTGAGGGGGAGAAGAAGGTGAGGGGGAGAAGAAGGTGAGGGGGAGAAGAAGGTGAGGGGGAGAAGAAGGTGAGGGGGAGAAGAAGGTGAGGGGGAGAAGAAGGTGCGGGGGAGAAGGAGGTGAGGGGGAGAAGAAGGTGAGGGGGAGAAGAAGGTGAGGGGGAGAAGAAGGTGCGGGGGAGAAGAAGGTGAGTGGGAGAAGAAGGTGCGGGGGAGAAGGAGGTGAGGGGGAGAAGAAGGTGAGGGGGAGAAGAAGGTGAGGGGGGAGAAGAAGGTGAGGGGGAGAAGAAGGTGAGGGGGAGAAGAAGGTGAGGGGGAGAAGAAGGTGAGGGGGAGAAGAAGGTGAGGGGGAGAAGAAGGTGAGGGGGAGAAGAAGGTGAGGGGGAGAAGAAGGTGAGGGGGAGAAGAAGGTGAGGGGGAGAAGAAGGTGAGGGGGAGAAGAAGGTGAGGGGGAGAAGAAGGTGAGGGGGAGAAGAAGGTGAGGGGGAGAAGAAGGTGAGGGGGAGAAGAAGGTGAGGGGGAGAAGAAGGTGAGGGGGAGAAGAAGGTGAGGGGGAGAAGGAGGTGAGGGGAGAAGAAGGTGAGGGGAGAAGAAGGTGAGGGGGAGAAGAAGGTGAGGGGGAGAAGGAGGTGAGGGGGAGAAGAAGGTGAGGGGGAGAAGGAGGTGAGGGGGAGAAGAAGGTGAGGGGGAGAAGGAGGTGAGGGGGAGAAGAAGGTGAGGGGGAGAAGAAGGTGAGGGGGAGAAGAAGGTGAGGGGGAGAAGAAGGTGAGGGGGAGAAGAAGGTGAGGGGGAGAAGGAGGTGAGGGGGAGAAGAAGGTGAGGGGGAGAAGAAGGTGAGGGGGAGAAGAAGGTGAGGGGGAGAAGGAGGTGAGGGGGAGAAGAAGGTGAGGGGGAGAAGGAGGTGAGGGGGAGAAGAAGGTGAGGGGGAGAAGAAGGTGAGGGGGAGAAGAAGGTGAGGGGGAGAAGAAGGTGAGGGGAGAGAAGGTGAGGGGGAGAAGGAGGTGAGGGGAGAAGAAGGTGCGGGGGAGAAGGAGGTGAGGGGGAGAAGAAGGTGAGGGGGGAAGAAGGAGGTGAGGGGGAGAGAAGGTGAGGGGGAGAAGAAGGTGAGGGGGAGAAGAAGGTGAGGGGGAGAAGAAGGTGAGGGGGAGAAGAAGGTGCGGGGGAGAAGGAGGTGAGGGGGAGAAGAAGGTGAGGGGGAGAAGAAGGTGAGGGGGAGAAGAAGGTGAGGGGGGAGAAGGAGGTGAGGGGAGAAGAAGGTGCGGGGGAGAAGAAGGTGCGGGGGAGAAGAAGGTGAGGGGGAGAGAAGGTGCGGGGTAGACGAGTGAGGGGAGAAGAAGGTGCGGGGGAGAAGGTGCGGGGGAGAAGAAGGTGAGGGGGAGAAGAAGGTGAGGGGGAGAAGGAGGTGAGGGGAGAAGAAGGTGCGGGGGAGAAGAAGGTGAGGGGGAGAAGAAGGTGCGGGGGGAGAAGGAGGTGAGGGGGAGAAGAAGGTGCGGGGGAGAAGAAGGTGAGGGGGAGAAGAAGGTGAGGGGGAGAAGGAGGTGAGGGGTGAGAAGAAGGTGCGGGGGAGAAGAAGGTGAGGGGGAGAAGGAGGTGAGGGGGAGAAGAAGGTGCGGGGGAGAAGAAGGTGAGGGGGAGAAGGAGGTGAGGGGGAGAAGAAGGTGAGGGGAGAAGAAGGTGAGGGGGAGAAGAAGGTGAGGGGGAGAAGAAGGTGAGGGGGAGAAGGAGGTGAGGGGGAGAAGAAGGTGAGTGGGAGAAGAAGGTGCGGGGGAGAAGGAGGTGAGGGGGAGAAGAAGGTGCGGGGGAGAAGGAGGTGAGGGGGAGAAGAAGGTGCGGGGGAGAAGGAGGTGAGGGGGAGAAGAAGGTGAGTGGGAGAAGAAGGTGCGGGGGAGAAGGAGGTGAGGGGGAGAAGAAGGTGAGGGGGAGAAGAAGGTGAGGGGGAGAAGAAGGTGAGGGGGAGAAGAAGGTGCGGGGGAGAAGAAGGTGAGGGGGAGAAGGAGGTGAGGGGGAGAAGAAGGTGAGGGGGAGAAGAAGGTGAGGGGGAGAAGAAGGTGAGTGGGAGAAGAAGGTGCGGGGGAGAAGGAGGTGAGGGGGAGAAGAAGGTGCGGGGGAGAAGGAGGTGAGGGGGAGAAGAAGGTGCGGGGGAGAAGGAGGTGAGGGGGAGAAGAAGGTGAGTGGGAGAAGAAGGTGCGGGGGAGAAGGAGGTGAGGGGGAGAAGAAGGTGAGGGGGAGAAGAAGGTGAGGGGGAGAAGAAGGTGAGGGGGAGAAGAAGGTGCGGGGGAGAAGAAGGTGAGGGGGAGAAGAAGGTGAGGGGGAGAAGAAGGTGAGGGGGAGAAGAAGGTGAGGGGGAGAAGAAGGTGAGTGGGAGAAGAAGGTGCGGGGGAGAAGGAGGTGAGGGGGAGAAGGAGGTGAGGGGGAGAAGAAGGTGAGGGGGAGAAGAAGGTGAGGGGGAGAAGAAGGTGAGGGGGAGAAGAAGGTGCGGGGGAGAAGAAGGTGAGGGGGAGAAGGAGGTGAGGGGGAGAAGAAGGTGAGGGGGAGAAGAAGGTGAGGGGGAGAAGAAGGTGAGGGGGAGAAGAAGGTGAGTGGGAGAAGAAGGTGCGGGGGAGAAGGAGGTGAGGGGAGAAGGAGGTGAGGGGGAGAAGAAGGTGAGGGGAGAAGAAGGTGAGGGGGAGAAGAAGGTGAGGGGGAGAAGAAGGTGCGGGGGAGAAGAAGGTGAGGGGGAGAAGGAGGTGAGGGGGAGAAGAAGGTGAGGGGGAGAAGAAGGTGAGGGGGAGAAGAAGGTGAGGGGGAGAAGAAGGTGAGGGGGAGAAGGAGGTGAGGGGGAGAAGAAGGTGAGGGGGAGAAGAAGGTGCGGGGGAGAAGGAGGTGAGGGGGAGAAGAAGGTGAGGGGGAGAAGAAGGTGAGGGGGAGAAGAAGGTGAGGGGGAGAAGAAGGTGCGGGGGAGAAGAAGGTGAGGGGAGAAGGAGGTGAGGGGGAGAAGAAGGTGAGGGGGAGAAGAAGGTGCGGGGGAGAAGGAGGTGAGGGGGAGAAGAAGGTGAGTGGGAGAAGAAGGTGCGGGGGAGAAGGAGGTGAGGGGAGAAGAAGGTGAGGGGGAGAAGAAGGTGAGGGGGAGAAGAAGGTGAGGGGGAGAAGAAGGTGCGGGGGAGAAGAAGGTGAGGGGGAGAAGGAGGTGAGGGGGAGAAGAAGGTGCGGGGGAGAAGGAGGTGAGGGGGAGAAGAAGGTGAGTGGGAGAAGAAGGTGCGGGGGAGAAGGAGGTGAGGGGGAGAAGAAGGTGAGGGGGAGAAGAAGGTGAGGGGGAGAAGAAGGTGAGGGGGAGAAGAAGGTGCGGGGGAGAAGAAGGTGAGGGGGAGAAGGAGGTGAGGGGGAGAAGAAGGTGAGGGGGAGAAGAAGGTGAGGGGGAGAAGAAGGTGAGGGGGAGAAGAAGGTGAGGGGGAGAAGGAGGTGAGGGGGAGAAGAAGGTGAGGGGGAGAAGAAGGTGCGGGGGAGAAGGAGGTGAGGGGGAGAAGAAGGTGCGGGGGAGAAGGAGGTGAGGGGGAGAAGAAGGTGAGGGGGAGAAGAAGGTGAGGGGGAGAAGAAGGTGAGGGGGAGAAGAAGGTGAGGAAAGAAGAAGGTGAGGGGGAGAAGAAGGTGAGGGGGAGAAGGAGGTGAGGGGGAGAAGAAGGTGAGGGGGAGAAGAAGGTGCGGGGGAGAAGAAGGTGAGGGGGAGAAGAAGGTGCGGGGGAGAAGAAGGTGAGGGGGAGAAGGAGGTGAGGGGGAGAAGAAGGTGAGGGGGAGAAGAAGGTGAGGGGGAGAAGAAGGTGAGGGGGAGAAGAAGGTGAGGGGGAGAAGGAGGTGAGGGGGAGAAGAAGGTGAGTGGGAGAAGAAGGTGCGGGGGAGAAGGAGGTGAGGGGGAGAAGAAGGTGCGGGGGAGAAGGAGGTGAGGGGGAGAAGAAGGTGCGGGGGAGAAGGAGGTGAGGGGGAGAAGAAGGTGAGTGGGAGAAGAAGGTGCGGGGGAGAAGGAGGTGAGGGGGAGAAGAAGGTGAGGGGGAGAAGAAGGTGAGGGGGAGAAGAAGGTGAGGGGGAGAAGAAGGTGCGGGGGAGAAGAAGGTGAGGGGGAGAAGGAGGGAGGGGGAGAAGAAGGTGAGGGGGAGAAGAAGGTGAGGGGGGAGAAGAAGGTGCGGGGGAGAAGAAGGTGAGTGGGAGAAGAAGGTGCGGGGGAGAAGGAGGTGAGGGGGAGAAGGAGGTGAGGGGGAGAAGAAGGTGAGGGGGAGAAGAAGGTGCGGGGGAGAAGAAGGTGAGGGGGAGAAGGAGGTGAGGGGGAGAAGAAGGTGCGGGGGAGAAGAAGGTGAGGGGAGAAGGAGGTGAGGGGGAGAAGAAGGTGAGGGGGAGAAGAAGGTGAGGGGGAGAAGAAGGTGAGGGGGAGAAGAAGGTGAGTGGGAGAAGAAGGTGCGGGGGAGAAGGAGGTGAGGGGGAGAAGGAGGTGAGGGGGAGAAGAAGGTGAGGGGGAGAAGAAGGTGAGGGGGAGAAGAAGGTGAGGGGGAGAAGAAGGTGCGGGGGAGAAGAAGGTGAGTGGGAGAAGAAGGTGCGGGGGAGAAGGAGGTGAGGGGGAGAAGGAGGTGAGGGGGAGAAGAAGGTGAGGGGGAGAAGAAGGTGCGGGGGAGAAGAAGGTGAGGGGGAGAAGGAGGTGAGGGGGAGAAGAAGGTGAGGGGGAGAAGAAGGTGCGGGGGAGAAGAAGGTGAGGGGGAGAAGGAGGTGAGGGGGAGAAGAAGGTGAGGGGGAGAAGAAGGTGAGGGGGAGAAGAAGGTGAGGGGGAGAAGAAGGTGAGGGGGAGAAGGAGGTGAGGGGGAGAAGAAGGTGAGGGGGAGAAGAAGGTGCGGGGGAGAAGGAGGTGAGGGGGAGAAGAAGGTGAGGGGGAGAAGAAGGTGAGGGGGAGAAGAAGGTGAGGGGGAGAAGAAGGTGCGGGGGAGAAGAAGGTGAGGGGGAGAAGGAGGTGAGGGGGAGAAGAAGGTGAGGGGGAGAAGAAGGTGCGGGGGAGAAGGAGGTGAGGGGGAGAAGAAGGTGAGTGGGAGAAGAAGGTGCGGGGGAGAAGAAGGTGAGGGGGAGAAGGAGGTGAGGGGGAGAAGAAGGTGCGGGGGAGAAGAAGGTGCGGGGGGAGAAGAAGGTGCGGGGGAGAAGAAGGTGAGGGGGAGAAGGAGGTGAGGGGGAGAAGAAGGTGCGGGGGAGAAGGAGGTGAGGGGGAGAAGAAGGTGAGTGGGAGAAGAAGGTGCGGGGGAGAAGGAGGTGAGGGGAGAAGAAGGTGAGGGGAGAAGAAGGTGAGGGGGAGAAGAAGGTGAGGGGGAGAAGAAGGTGCGGGGGAGAAGAAGGTGAGGGGGAGAAGGAGGTGAGGGGGAGAAGAAGGTGAGGGGGAGAAGAAGGTGAGGGGGAGAAGAAGGTGAGGGGGAGAAGGAGGTGAGGGGGAGAAGAAGGTGAGGGGGAGAAGAAGGTGCGGGGGAGAAGAAGGTGCGGGGGAGAAGGAGGTGAGGGGGAGAAGGAGGTGAGGGGGAGAAGAAGGTGAGTGGGAGAAGAAGGTGAGGGGGAGAAGGAGGTGAGGGGGAGAAGGAGGTGAGGGGGAGAAGAAGGTGAGGGGGAGAAGAAGGTGCGGGGGAGAAGGAGGTGAGGGGGAGAAGAAGGTGAGTGGGAGAAGAAGGTGCGGGGGAGAAGAAGGTGAGGGGGAGAAGGAGGTGAGGGGAGAAGAAGGTGCGGGGGAGAAGAAGGTGCGGGGGAGAAGAAGGTGCGGGGGAGAAGAAGGTGAGGGGGAGAAGGAGGTGAGGGGGAGAAGAAGGTGCGGGGGAGAAGGAGGTGAGGGGGAGAAGAAGGTGAGTGGGAGAAGAAGGTGCGGGGGAGAAGGAGGTGAGGGGGAGAAGAAGGTGAGGGGGAGAAGAAGGTGAGGGGGAGAAGAAGGTGAGGGGGAGAAGAAGGTGCGGGGGAGAAGAAGGTGAGGGGGAGAAGGAGGTGAGGGGGAGAAGAAGGTGAGGGGGAGAAGAAGGTGAGGGGGAGAAGAAGGTGAGGGGGAGAAGAAGGTGAGGGGGAGAAGGAGATGAGGGGGAGAAGAAGGTGAGGGGGAGAAGAAGGTGCGGGGGAGAAGGAGGTGAGGGGGAGAAGAAGGTGCGGGGGAGAAGGAGGTGAGGGGGAGAAGAAGGTGAGGGGGAGAAGAAGGTGAGGGGGAGAAGAAGGTGAGGGGGAGAAGAAGGTGAGGAAAGAAGAAGGTGAGGGGAGAAGAAGGTGAGGGGGAGAAGGAGGTGAGGGGGAGAAGAAGGTGAGGGGGAGAAGAAGGTGCGGGGGAGAAGAAGGTGAGGGGGAGAAGAAGGTGCGGGGGAGAAGAAGGTGAGGGGGAGAAGGAGGTGAGGGGGAGAAGAAGGTGAGGGGGAGAAGAAGGTGAGGGGGAGAAGAAGGTGAGGGGGAGAAGAAGGTGAGGGGGAGAAGGAGGTGAGGGGGAGAAGAAGGTGAGGGGGAGAAGAAGGTGCGGGGGAGAAGGAGGTGAGGGGGAGAAGAAGGTGCGGGGGAGAAGGAGGTGAGGGGGAGAAGAAGGTGAGGGGGAGAAGAAGGTGAGGGGGAGAAGAAGGTGAGGGGGAGAAGGAGGTGAGGAAAGAAGAAGGTGAGGGGGAGAATGAGGTGAGGGGGAGAAGAAGGTGAGGGGGAGAAGAAGGTGAGGGGGAGAAGAAGGTGAGGGGGAGAAGGAGGTGAGGGGGAGAAGGAGGTGAGGGGGAGAAGGAGGTGAGGGGGAGAAGAAGGTGAGGGGGAGAAGAAGGTGAGGGGGAGAAGGAGGTGAGGGGGAGAAGGAGGTGAGGGGGAGAAGAAGGTGCGGGGGAGAAGGAGGTGAGGGGGAGAAGGAGGTGAGGGGGAGAAGGAGGTGAGGGGGAGAAGGAGGTGAGGGGGAGAAGAAGGTGAGGGGGAGAAGGAGGTGAGGGGGAGAAGAAGGTGAGGGGGAGAAGGAGGTGAGGGGGAGAAGAAGGTGAGGGGAGAAGAAGGTGCGGGGGAGAAGAAGGTGCGGGGGAGAAGGAGGTGAGGGGGAGAAGAAGGTGAGGGGGAGAAGAAGGTGAGGGGGAGAAGAAGGTGCGGGGGAGAAGAAGGTGAGGGGGAGAAGGAGGTGCGGGGGAGAAGAAGGTGAGGGGGAGAAGAAGGTGAGGGGGAGAAGAAGGTGCGGGGGAGAAGGAGGTGAGGGGGAGAAGAAGGTGAGGGGGAGAAGAAGGTGAGGGGGAGAAGGAGGTGCGGGGGAGAAGAAGGTGCGGGGGAGAAGGAGGTGAGGGGGAGAAGAAGGTGAGGGGGAGAAGGAGGTGAGGGGGAGAAGGAGGTGAGGGGGAGAAGAAGGTGAGGGGGAGAAGAAGGTGAGGGGGAGAAGAAGGTGAGGGGGAGAAGAAGGTGCGGGGGAGAAGAAGGTGAGGGGGAGAAGAAGGTGCGGGGGAGAAGAAGGTGAGGGGGAGAAGGAGGTGAGGGGGAGAAGGAGGTGAGGGGGAGAAGAAGGTGAGGGGGAGAAGAAGGTGCGGGGGAGAAGAAGGTGAGGGGGAGAAGAAGGTGAGGGGGAGAAGAAGGTGAGGGGGAGAAGAAGGTGAGGGGGAGAAGAAGGTGAGGGGGAGAAGAAGGTGCGGGGGAGAAGAAGGTGCGGGGGAGAAGAAGGTGAGGGGGAGAAGAAGGTGAGGGGGAGAAGGAGGTGAGGGGGAGAAGAAGGTGAGGGGGAGAAGAAGGTGAGGGGGAGAAGAAGGTGAGTGGGAGAAGAAGGTGAGGGGGAGAAGGAGGTGAGGGGGAGAAGAAGGTGAGTGGGAGAAGAAGGTGAGTGGGAGAAGGAGGTGAGGGGGAGAAGAAGGTGAGGGGGAGAAGAAGGTGAGTGGGAGAAGAAGGTGAGGGGGAGAAGGAGGTGAGGGGGAGAAGAAGGTGAGGGGGAGAAGGAGGTGAGGGGGAGAAGGAGGTGAGGGGGAGAAGAAGGTGAGGGGGAGAAGGAGGTGAGGGGGAGAAGAAGGTGAGGGGGAGAAGGAGGTGAGGGGGAGAAGGAGGTGAGGGGAGAAGAAGGTGAGGGGGAGAAGGAGGTGAGGGGGAGAAGAAGGTGAGGGGGAGAAGAAGGTGAGGGGGAGAAGAAGGTGAGGGGGAGAAGGAGGTGAGGGGGAGAAGGAGGTGAGGGGGAGAAGGAGGTGAGGGGGAGAAGGAGGTGAGGGGGAGAAGGAGGTGCGGGGGAGAAGGAGGTGCGGGGAGAAGAAGGTGAGGGGAGAGAAGGTGAGGGGAGAAGAAGGTGAGGGGGAGAAGGAGGTGAGGGGGAGAAGGAGGTGAGGGGGAGAAGAAGGTGAGGGGGAGAAGGAGGTGAGGGGGAGAAGGAGGTGAGGGGGAGAAGAAGGTGAGGGGGAGAAGGAGGTGAGGGGGAGAAGAAGGTGAGGGGGAGAAGGAGGTGAGGGGGAGAAGGAGGTGAGGGGGAGAAGAAGGTGAGGGGGAGAAGGAGGTGAGGGGGAGAAGAAGGTGAGGGGGAGAAGGAGGTGAGGGGGAGAAGAAGGTGAGGGGGAGAAGAAGGTGAGGGGGAGAAGGAGGTGAGGGGGAGAAGAAGGTGAGGGGGAGAAGGAGGTGAGGGGAGAAGAAGGTGAGGGGGAGAAGGAGGTGAGGGGGAGAAGAAGGTGAGGGGGAGAAGAAGGTGAGGGGGAGAAGGAGGTGAGGGGGAGAAGGAGGTGAGGGGGAGAAGGAGGTGAGGGGGAGAAGGAGGTGAGGGGGAGAAGAAGGTGAGGGGGAGAAGGAGGTGAGGGGGAGAAGGAGGTGAGGGGGAGAAGAAGGTGAGGGGGAGAAGGAGGTGAGGGGGAGAAGAAGGTGAGGGGGAGAAGGAGGTGAGGGGGAGAAGAAGGTGAGGGGGAGAAGAAGGTGAGGGGGAGAAGAAGGTGAGGGGGAGAAGAAGGTGAGGGGGAGAAGAAAATGAGGGGGAGAAGGAGGTGAGGGTTGGGGAGATGGAGGTGAGAGGGGAAGGGCGCCAAAGAGAGAAAGAGAGTGGAGGGGGAAGGGGGGGAGCAGGAAGGAAAGAGGGGGTTGCATGGGGAACGAGAAAAACGAAATTGAGGTATGGGGGGCGGTAGGTAGGGGGGCGGGGGTTAGTCAAGAATACCAAGGTGTGGGGCGGGGGTTAGTCAAGAATACCAAGGTGTGGGGCGGGGATTAGTCAAGAATACCAAGGTGTGGGGTGCGGTGGTGAGAGAATGTGAGGGAGATGTGAGGGGGGTGGGGTGGATGCAGGTGTGGAAGGGAGGGAGAAAAGAAAGTGGGGTTATAGTCTGGGCTGTGTGGAGTGATGATCGTGTGCCTGGGGCGCGGATAGGCGAGATGACCAAGGTGTGGGCGCGTGGGGGTGGGGAGAGGGGAGAGTATGTGAGGGGAGATTGTGAGGAGGTGTGAGGGGAGAGAATGTAAGGGAGATGTGAGGGGCGGGTGTGGAGGCAGGACTAGGAGGGAGAATGTGAGGTGAGTTTGTGTGGAGAGAGGTGGCACAGACGCAGAGGCTTTTCCAGTTCTCCCCGTCCCCTTCACTTGCTCCTGTGCCGCCTCCCTCTCCCTGCATGCACGTTGCATTGCAGGCAGCACAGCCGCCGTTCGAGCTGTTGGGGAAACTGGCTGAAGGGGACTTCTGTCTCCCTCGCTCCCCACCCCATACACATCACCCTCCTAGTTTTGGGGCGCCTAAAAATACGAATTATGTTTCCTTCTCTCCCTCTCTCCCCATCACCCTTCCCCACTGTTTCACTGCTTCCTTCCTTCTGCTGCCTCTCCTCCTCTCCCGCCCCCCACAAACTGCAGGCAGCAGCAGTGCTGCCATTTGAGCTGCCAGGCAAGCTGGTCAAATGCGATTTGTGTCTCCCTCTCTCCCTTCCCCCTACCCTTCCTCCCCTGCGGCCTTCCTTTTGCTGCGTCCCCCTTCCGTCCCTTCTCCATCCCCACTTTTGAGTCGACTCAGAATTCGGCTGCGTCCCCCCTCCTTCTCCCCTCCTTCCCCCCTCCTTCCCCCCTCCTTCCCCCCTCCTCCCCCCCTCCTTCCCCCCTCCTTCCCCCCTCCTTCCCCCTCCTTCCCCTCTCCTTCCCCCCTCCTCCCCCTCTTCCCTCCCACGGCAGGCACGGCAGGCAGCGCAGCGATCGTTTGAGCTGTCAGGCAAACTGGTTGAGAACGATCTCTGTCTCCCTCTTCCGCTCTCTCTCCCCTCCTCCACTGTTCCACTGCTTCCTTCCCTCTGCTGCGTCCCCCCTCCTTCCCCCCGTCGCCCCCTTATTCCCTCCCACGGCAGGCAGTGCAGCCATCGTTTGAGTTGTCAGGCAAACTGGCCGAAGAAACCAACCGCTTCCGAGGTCGGTGCTGTGCGGTGCTGGTGGGTGCTGGTGGGTGCCTGGTGGGTGCTGGTGGGTGGCTGGCGGGTGCTGGTGGGTGGCTGGTGAGTGTAGGTAATGGGGGCGGGGTGGGGGGGACGTGTGGCCGTGGGGAGAGAGCGAGGGTGAGGAGACTTCTGAGGCACGTCAATAGGGGTTTTTATCAAGAGCAAAGATGTTTTGAGAATTCTCAAAGGGGAAAAGGTGTTTTGAGACGTCTCAAACTGAGGCGCCTCGCCTCAATAGGGGTTTCTGTCAGGGGAAAAGAAGAGTGTTTAGGGTTCTTATTCCTTAGGGGAAAACATCCGTCTTGTGAAGAATTTCCATGTAGCTTCCTGGAGTCCAGTCCAGCAATCTCCCTCCGTCCCTGCTCTCCTGTGATATACCTTCGTGCTGCCCAACCCCACTGACCAATCGCATGCTGCCCAACCCCACTGACCAATCGCATGCTGCCAGGTGTCGCGCTCGTGTACAACGAGCCTCCAGAGGCGCGCAAGCCCTCCATCCGCTGGCGGCTGTATGTCTTCAAAGACGGGGAGCCTTTCAAAGGTGGGCTTTTTATGGTGATTCTCTTGAAGGCAAGGAGATTCTCAAAAGAGAAATTCGAGCATGAAGGTGCTTCTTTTAAATAAGCGAAAAAAAAGAGAGAAAAAAAAAAGAGGAGATTTCTTAAGCTGGGTTGCTTGCGCGCAGTGGTAACTGTTTGTAAACAAGTGGTGTTTATGGTCGCATCCACTCTTGTTGCATTCGATGCGACGGTCCACTCTGAGGCATGGTGTTGAGACAAAGACATTCGACACTTCTCAAGACCCCCTGGTTTCTGAGAATTCTAAAAAACGTGATGCGACCATCCACTCTGAGTCATGGTGTTGAGACATAGACATCTTACACTTCTCAGGACCCCCATCCACTCTTCTTGCTCTGACTTTCCAAATTCCGCCTTCCCTTCCCCTTCCCCCTTCCTGTTTCCCTGCTCCACACACCACAATCCCCGTCCCAACCCCCGTCCTTCCCCTCCCCTCCCCTCTCCCCGTTTCTTTGCACCACACCACGACCTCCCCCCAACGCCCCCCTCACCTCCCCTCTATTGCATTGAATATGCGGTTCACTATTGAGCTGTGCATGCCTATCTGTGTGTTTATATACGTGCATGTCTGTGTGCCCCTGCATGCATGTTTGCCTAACCATGCACACATGGTATCAGAGCTACTCTACATCCATCGCCAAACGTGCTACCTCTGCACCTGTTTTTTCACTTGCCCTACTCGCTGGGGTTGTGTTTTTTGCGGTTGTTTGCATGCATGTGCATGCCTGTTTTGTGTGCCCCTGCTTGCATGTTTGTCTACGCATGCATGCACGAATGTGGTATCAGAGCCGCTTTACATTCATCGCCAACCCTGAAAGTTCACCTGGTTAAGCACTTGCCTGACTCTTCTGGTTTGTGTTTTTGCGGTTGTTTGCACACATGTGGTATCAGAGCCGCTCTACATTCATCGCCAAACATGCTACCTCTTTGGCCGCGAGAGAAAAGTGGGTGTGGGGGGCAATGAGAGTGGGGGGGGCAATGGGAGTGTGGGGGCAAATGAGAGTGGGGGGGGCAATGGGAGTGTGGGGGCAACGAGGGTGTGGGGGAAATTGGAGTGTGAGAAGGGGTAAAGGGAGTGTGCAGCATATTGGCAGTGTGGGCAGCAAATGGTCCTGTTAGCCACACATGGCTCATAACCATTTGTGGCTCATAGCTAAGTGTGGCGCAGTCCTGTGGTGGTTGTGGCACAGCAATTATCCTTTCACATATCCCAGAAACCCAATACTGAAATTCGCTACCCTCTGGCCCTTCTATCCGGTCTTGCCGCCCTTGTGAATTCTCAGAAACCACTCTTGTCGTTTGTCACCGTGTACAAAGCCACTCACAGCGTGCTGACAAGCAGGTGTACTGTACATTACCCTGTTTGCATATAACCATCTCACCATCTGACCATCTGACTTGGGGCACGTTGCAGATGTGCCAATAGACCATCCATCTGTTGTGGGGCTTCCCTTTATGGGCGTCAGAACTTCAATTTTTCTGTGTAGTTTTGAGACGTCTCAAAACTATGGGCGTCAGCCTTTCTGTGTGCTGCCCTGCTGCTTTACCATGCGTGTGCGACGTGGGGTGGGCAGGTTGCAGACGTGCCAACAGACCATCCATCATGCAGCAAGCAGCACGCCGTCATTCAGTTCCGGTGGGTGTGCTGTGCGGTGCGGTGCTGTGTGGTGTGGTGCTGTCCGGTGCTGTACCATCTGACCATCTGACCATCTCATCATGTCATCTTATCTCACCATCTCATCATGTCATATCACCGTCTCGTCTCACCATCTCACCATCCCACCTATCTCAACACCAGCATCTCCTCTGCTGCTGACTTTTGAGTCGACTCAAAAATAACAACACCAGCATCTCCTCTGCTGCTGACTTTTGAGTCGACTCAAAAATAACAACACCAGCATCTCCTCTGCTGCTGACTTTTGAGTCGACTCAAAAATAACAACACCAGCATCTCCTCTGCTGCTGACTTTTGAGTCGACTCAAAAATAACAACACCAGCATCTCCTCTGCTGCTGACTTTTGAGTCGACTCAAAAATAACAACACCAGCATCTCCTCTGCTGCTGACTTTTGAGTCGACTCAAAAATAACAACACCAGCATCTCCTCTGCTGCTGACTTTTGAGTCGACTCAAAAATAACAACACCAGCATCTCCTCTGCTGTTGTATTCTATCGTTTTAGTAGCGTTTTCTACCCTATCTCATTCTTATCTCATTCTTAGTCGACTCAAAATGTTGCATTCTATCGTGATATAAGTGTTATTCACTTTCTCTCATTACTATATTGCCTGCCATTACACTCATTCGTGGTCATGCCAGGCTAGTGGACAAGGAAGAACCGAGTGGGGAGATGACTTCCCTTGTGAGGTGAGAGGGTGGAGATTGTTGTGAGATGAGGGGGGTGGAGCTTGTGAGGTATGGTAGTAATGATTTTCTCACCGGCATGCCAGGCTAGTAAACAAGGAGGAACCGAGTGGGGAGATGACCTCTCTTGTGAGGTGAGTGAGCGGTGCTTTGAGGTGAGAGAGTGGTGCTGTGAGGTGAGTGAGCGGTGCTTTGAGGTGAGAGAGTGGTGCTGTGAGGTGAGTGAGCGGTGCTTTGAGGTGAGAGAGCGGTGCTCTGATGTGAGAGCGGAGTTGTGCAGTGAAAGGGTGGTGCTGCGCAGTGAGAGTGGTGCTGTGCAGTGAGAGAGTGGTGCTGTGCGGTGAGATTATGGTCCTTGTGAAATCACAAGGTGAGCAAAGTGAGAGGGGAGGGACTTGCAATGATGCTTAGGGAAAGAGATCCTCGTAAACCCATTTGCAATAACTCACAACCATACACAACTGTTTGCAAGCACTCAGAACCATTCACAAGCACTCCTCCTAATCACTCGCTGAAATTCCGATCCTCTCTCTCTCTTCTTCGCAGGCCCTATCTCATGGATCTTGGCAGCACCAACGGCACGTTCCTCAATGTGAGCTGCACCATATCCCTCACATGGTGCTGCACGGTGATGCATGGTGATCCATGGTGCTGCATGGTGCTGCATGGTGATGCATGGTGATGCATGGTGTGGTGTGCGTGCGGCATGGTGATGCGGTACCATGGCATGGGAT